TGGGAAGGGGGCTAGTTGGGTGATGTCACTGTGGTGGGAAGGGTGATGTCACTGTGGTGGGAAGGGGGCTAGCGGGGTGATGTCACTGTGGTGGGAAGGGGGGCTAGTGTGGTGATGTCACTGTTGTGGGAAGGGAGCTAGCAGGGTGATGTCACTGTGGTGGGAAGGGGGCTTATGGATGTTTAGCCGTCGCATTGAACTGTCAGATGTATATAAAGGTTGACAAGTCAAAACTGTAAATTGCCATACTCTTTCAGAATTTGTAGAGGTGGATTTGTTGGAATCGCCATTTGGTATTTTTTCTCTCAAGAGTCGTTCATCACTGCAGTGAATTAATAAAGACTTCCCCGAGTAGCTGCCAGCTCCACCAGCAAGAGTTATAATCTGCACAGGTGGTGGGATTATCGATATCCATTGTATCGCAGTTTCTGAACAACGCCAAGTCCAGCGAGACTAATTACATGGCCCTTTACGTCATACATAACCGGTAACAACGCGCTAGCCTGTCATGGCAGCTGTAGAGTTATGTCCCTTGGTCGATAGTGTGTGTATCAATCCATGCCACCAGGGGGCAGTGACAGCCATGTTCGGATTAACACAAAACACTTGAATAGTAAGGCCATTTACGAGGATTGATTGATGAGGTTTACGCTTCACGTGAGAATTAGACACTACAAGATGTCATAGAGGCATAGCCAAAAAACCTGAGTCATTTGAACAAATTGTTTCGCTGTGACAAATCAGTGAAAGAAGCAGATAAATTGACAAACTTGGTGAACGTGCAGGGGTCAAGTACTTGTAGACTGTGGTAGTTGCAAGAACCTCCTGTGTCACCTTCAAACAGAGCTTGATTATCACGAGACATGTTTCTGGAGCGTTTTTGAACTGTGAGTGAGTGAGTTGGGTTTAACGCCGCTTTTAACAGTATTACAGTTATATCGCGGCGTGTCAGCTTAATGTGGGAGGAGAGCCCGAAGTGATGCAGGTCTCAGACGTTTACCACTTCGGTGAAACCCACGAGCACGGGTATGGTGCTGACAAGCCTAGAAACATAATCGGGGCGAATCGGGATACGAACCCACAATCATAGGTTTCTGGCGCGTCCCAAGGGACGCAACTCTGCACAGCGAATCGCGGCGCCTTAGACGACTGGGCCACCCGTGCCCCCGTTTTTGAACTGATGTCAGAAGCTTTCGGAATGGAACCCAAAGAGCTGATACCTTCTGTGCCAATGTTTCTGTGTGATGCAATGAACTCTCTCCAGGGAAATTCCTACCGAACTAGTAATATGACGCTCAGTCATTCGCCGGTCGGCCATCACAAAATCGTGGGGTCTCTGGATCTTTTCTAGTATTGCCGACGTCACATGTTTACCTTCCAGGCGGGGACTGGTCGGCTCGGAGTCAGTATACTGTGTCTGAGTGCGGTATTCATGTTAAACTGCGGCATGGTATCTCAGTAGGCTAGCACTATAAATCGGCATCAGTCCGGACTAGTACAAGCAGCCACACAAACACACACACGTACATGCACGTCGCTATATAAGTGCAATAATCTTGGACCCAATTTCACCTCACATCTTTACGGTGGCATAGAAAGGGGCATGCTTCCCTGTATTGTATCCATCTTCATGGGTGGATTTTGGTGTAAAACCCTTTTTCTGAAAGTACTTGATCACTGCACGTTTCTCAAGTTTGATCATTTTTCAAAGGTCCCATACCCCGGCTAGTTTGTCTTGTCACAGCGATACAAATGATTCTAATGAAACACATGGCTTTCGTTGGTGTATTAATTCTCCATTCAATTGTGAAGCACGGCACCACATACCTCTGTGAGAATGACAAGACTCTAATGATAGACTTCAAATAGACTTCTCTCCTCCGCCTTAGCACTCAGGAAACAAAATTTCCAGCTTAAAGTTCATTTCTAGCAGTCTTCTGGTTAAAGTATTTGATAAACATTTAGAAGTTGGGAGAACATGACTACATGACACTTTTTTTTATAGATGGCAACTCCTTTTATTCTTTGTCACCAGTGACACCAGTGACCAAGGAATAAAGAAGTTGCTTTCCATAAAAAGTGTCATGCATTCGTCTTAGTTAGATTAAATATCAGGGTCACTCGGATGAGGCGGCGATTTTGAATTAGGTCTATGCCGAACTCGCGTCCAGGAGAGGATTTGATTGTCTGTTTGATTGTTGATTTCACGAGCAAGGTTTTCTATGCCAAGTCAGTGATAAGAGAAATGGAGTTGGTGACGTCACTTCCGGAGCGAAGCTGTGTTGGCGAATGGGTCCGGGCTATAGCATAATACATCTGAGATACGCCACTTGATAATGGAGGATGGACAGTGATAATGGAGGTTGGACATTGATAAACGAGGATAGACATTGATAATCGAGGATAGACATTGGATAATCGAGGATGGATATTGGATAACGGAGGATGGACATTAGATAATGGAGGTTGGACATTAGATAATGGAGAATGAACATTGGATAATCGAGGATGGATATTGGTTAACGGAGGATGGACATTGGATAATCGAGGATGGACACTGGTAATCGAGGATGGACACTGATAATCGAGGATGGACACTGATAATCGAGGATGGACATTGATAATCGAGGATGAACATTGGATAATCGAGGATGGACACTGATAATCGAGGATGGACACTGATAATCGAGGATGGACACTGATAATGGAGGATGGACACTGATAATCGAGGATGGACATTGGATAATCGAGGATGGACACTGACAATCGAGGATGGACATTGGATAATCGAGGATGGATATTGGATAATCGAGGATGGACACTGATAATCGAGGATGGACACTGATAATCGAGGATGGACATTGGATAATCGAGGATGGACACTGATAATCGAGGATGGACACTGATAATCGAGGATGGACATTGGATAATCGAGGATGGACATTGGATAATCGAGGATGGACACTGATAATCGAGGATGGACACTGATAATCGAGGATGGACATTGGATAATCGAGGATGGACAGCCAACATGTAACTCCATAATTGCAGCCTCGTTCAGCAAGGGTGGAAACTGGACTTTTATAGTCAGTTAACTCCCTTGCCTAGGGGAGATGCTCCATCTACCACACAACGAAGGTGATGTTGCAATAACTTACAATAGTCGTAGTGTTAATTTCACTTACTTAAACGGGGATAATGAATTTTCATGGGACATGTTTCTGTATTATCATGATTATCATTAAGAGGTGTCGTCTGTAGCTCGAGTACAAAATAATTATTAAATATAAATTATTTGGAATAATTTGGAAATATATTGCAAGACATAGTAAAGGATACTTCAGTAAAAGCCTGATAAAAAGCTCAACTACGTCCTTTGTAACTTTGGTTACCACGATGGCGTTGTTCGTGTTTTCTGTTACAGGGGGCACGGGTGGCCCAGTCGTCTAAGGCGCCGTGACTCGCTGTGCAGAGTTGCGTCCCTTGGGCACGCCAGAAACCTATGATTGTGGGTTCGAATCCCGGTTCCCCCGATTATATTTCTAGGTTTGTCAGCACCATACCCGTGCTCGTGGGTTTCACCGCAGTGGTGAACGTCTGAGACCTGCATCACTTCGGGCTTTCCTCCCACATTAAGCTAGCACGCCGTGATATAACTGGAATAATGTTAAAAGCGGCGTTACACTCAACTCACTCACTCACTCACTTTCAGTTACATATTTGCCTGGTCCTGACTCAATTATTTACATGCAGTTGTGATCATGGTTACATGGGAACATGTCTGCTTGCAGCGTGAAACAACAGTCAGTCACCCCAGAGAAGTGCTGACTGGACCCATACCCCGTCAAGATCAGAGGTCACAGATGATCATTTCATCAAAACGTGTAATTTGATATATAGTTGAAGTAAGAAGTTGATGGACTGCTTCAATGCAATATGAACCCTGTATAGAAATAAAGAAAGGGTTCATTGATGGAAGTTTCGGACCATTTCAACAAACTTTACAGCATGGAACTTAGAAATGAGATATTCTTTGAAAATATGGTTTTACTCCAAATCCTGTGCTTAAAACTCCCAGTGGAATCTGCCATAGCTATATATGAGTATTAATTCTGATAAATGTCTGGTTCCAAGACGTGAACAATCCTCTCGTGGTTACTTCTATTGAAAATCAAGGAGTCTGGATAGCATAGAACATCAATGGTGGTTCATTACTAACGTGAGAATGCGATAAATTACAACGATGGCCTGAGGTCACATTTATCAAATCACTCAAGATTAAAGAGGTATAGTCTAAATCCTGTGGGAGGGGGGAAGCTGTGTGTGTATGTGGGGTGGGGTAGGAAGGTCAGTGCAAAGTACTGGGGCGTCCCAGAAGACGGGGTGTCGCCCCGGGTTCCTGTTAGGGTGGCTGACAAAGCCTGACCCTACAAGCGCTTGTATTCCGATCTGAGCTTTTTGATGAACTTAAGATGTCTTTCATGGTGCCGTGTTGTCTAAGTTGTCTAAGGCGCCGCAATTCGCTGTGCAGAGTTGCGTCCCTTGGGCACGCTAGAAACCTATGATTGTGGGTTCGAATCCCGGTTCGCCTCGATTATGTTTCTAGGTTTGTCAGCACCATACCCATGCTTGTGGGTATGATGGAGGATCATCAGAGTTGCCCCTTATTGTATAGCCGGCGTCAAAGTTGCCCCATGTTGTATAGCCAGCATCAGAGTTGCCCCATGTTGTATAGCCAGCATCAGAGTTGCCCCATGTTGTATAGCCGGCGTCAAAGTTGCCACATGTTGCAAAGTCAGCATCAGAGTTGCCCCATGTTGTATAGCCAGCATCAGAGTTGCCCATGTTGTATAACCGGCATCAGAGTTGCCCCATGTTGTATATCCAGCATCAGAGTTGCCCCATGTTGTGTAGCCAGCATCAGAGTTGCCCCATGTTGTATAGCCAGCATCAGAGTTCCCCTATGTTGTATAGCAGGCGTCAAAGTTGCCCCATGTTGTTTAGCCAGCATCAGAGTTGCCCCACGTTGTATAGCCAGCATCAGAGTTGCCCCATGTTGTATAGCCGGCGTCAAAGTTGCCCCATGTTGTGTAGCCAGCATCAGAGTTGCACCATGTTGTGTAGCCAGCATCAGAGTTGCCCCATGTTGTATAGCCGGCATCAGAGTTGCCCCATGTTGTATAGCCAGCATCAGAGTTGCCCCATGTTGTAAAGCCAGCATCAGAGTTGCACCATGTTGTGTAGCCAGCATCAGAGTTGCCCCATGTTGTATAGCCGGCATCAGAGTTGCCCTGTGTTGTATAGCCAGCATCAGAGTTGCCCCATGTTGTACAGCCGTCATCAGAGTTGTCCCATGTTGTATAGCCAGCATCAGAGTTGCCCCATGTTGTATAGCCAGCATCAGAGTTACCCCATGTTGTACAGCCGGCATCAGAGTTGCCCCATGTTGTATAGCCGGCATCAGAGTTGCCCCATGTTGTATAGCCAGCATCAGAGTTGCCCCATGTTGTATAGCCAGCATCAGAGTTGCCCCACGTTGTACAGCCAGCATCAGAGTTGCCCCATGTTGTACAGCCAGCATCAGAGTTGCCCCATGTTGTATAGCCAGCATCAGAGTTGCCCCATGTTGTATAGCCGGCATCAGAGTTGCCCCATGTTGTACAGCCAGCATCAGAGTTGCCCCATGTTGTATAGCCAGCATCAGAGTTGCCCCATGTTGTATAGCCAGCATCAGAGTTGTCCCATGTTGTATAGCCAGCATCAGAGTTGCCCCATGTTGTATAGCCAGCATCAGAGTTGCCCCATGTTGTATAGCCAGCATCAGAGTTGCCCCATGTTGTATAGCCGGCGTCAAAGTTGCCACATGTTGCAAAGTCAGCATCAGAGTTGCCCCATGTTGTATAGCCAGCATCAGAGTTGCCCATGTTGTATAACCGGCATCAGAGTTGCCCCATGTTGTATATCCAGCATCAGAGTTGCCCCATGTTGTGTAGCCAGCATCAGAGTTGCCCCATGTTGTATAGCCAGCATCAGAGTTCCCCTATGTTGTATAGCAGGCGTCAAAGTTGCCCCATGTTGTTTAGCCAGCATCAGAGTTGCCCCACGTTGTATAGCCAGCATCAGAGTTGCCCCATGTTGTATAGCAGGCGTCAAAGTTGCCCCATGTTGTGTAGCCAGCATCAGAGTTGCACCATGTTGTGTAGCCAGCATCAGAGTTGCCCCATGTTGTATAGCCAGCATCAGAGTTGCCCCATATTGTATAGCCAGCATCAGAGTTGCCCCATGTTGTATAGCCGGCATCAGAGTTGCCCCATGTTGTATAGCCAGCATCAGAGTTCCCCTTTGTTGTATAGCCGGCATCAGAGTTGCCCCATGTTGTACAGCCGTCATCAGAGTTGTCCCATGTTGTATAGCCAGCATCAGAGTTGCCCCATGTTGTATAGCCAGCATCAGAGTTACCCCATGTTGTACAGCCAGCATCAGAGTTGCCCTGTGTTGTATAGCCAGCATCAGAGTTGCCCCATGTTGTATAGCCGGCATCAGAGTTTCCCTGTGTTGTATAGCCAGCATCAGAGTTGCCCCATGTTGTACAGCCGTCATCAGAGTTGTCCCATGTTGTATAGCCAGCATCAGAGTTGCCCCATGTTGTATAGCCAGCATCAGAGTTACCCCATGTTGTACAGCCAGCATCAGAGTTGCCCCATGTTGTATAGCCAGCATCAGAGTTGCCCCATGTTGTATAGCCAGCATCAGAGTTGCCCCATGTTGTATAGCCAGCATCAGAGTTGCCCCATGTTGTACAGCCAGCATCAGAGTTGCCCCATGTTGTATAGCCGGCATCAGAGTTGCCCCATGTTGTATAGCCAGCATCAGAGTTGCCCCATGTTGTATAGCCAGCATCAGAGTTACCCCATGTTGTACAGCCAGCATCAGAGTTGCCCCATGTTGTATAGCCGGCATCAGAGTTGCCCCATGTTGTATAGCCGGCATCAGAGTTGCCCCATGTTGTATAGCCAGCATCAGAGTTGCCCCATGTTGTATAGCCAGCATCAGAGTTGTCCCATGTTGTATAGCCAGCATCAGAGTTGCCCCATGTTGTATAGCCAGCATCAGAGTTACCCCATGTTGTACAGCCAGCATCAGAGTTGCCCCATGTTGTATAGCCGGCATCAGAGTTGCCCCATGTTGTATAGCCAGCATCAGAGTTGCCCCATGTTGTATAGCCAGCATCAGAGTTGCCCCATGTTGTATAGCCAGCATCAGAGTTGCCCCATGTTGTACAGCCGGCATCAGAGTTGCCCCATGTTGTATAGCCAGCATCAGAGTTGCCCCATGTTGTATAGCCAGCATCAGAGTTGCCCCATGTTGTATAGCCAGCATCAGAGTTGCCCATGTTGTATAGCCAGCATCAGAGTTGCCCCATGTTGTATAGCCAGCATCAGAGTTGCCCCATGTTGTATAGCCAGCATCAGAGTTGCCCCATGTTGTATAGCCGGCATCAGAGTTGCCCCATGTTGTACAGCCGGCATCAGAGTTGCCCCATGTTGTATAGCCAGCATCAGAGTTGCCCCATGTTGTATAGCCAACATCAGAGTTGCCCCATGTTGTATAGCCAGCATCAGAGTTGCCCATGTTGTATAGCCAGTATCAGAGTTGTCCCATGTTGTATAGCCAGCATCAGAGTTGCCCATGTTGTAAAGCCAACATCAGAGTTGCCCCATGTTGTATAGACGGTATCAGAGTTGCCCCATGTTGTATAGCCAACATCAGAGTTGCCCATGTTGTATAGCCAGCATCAGAGTTGCCCCATGTTGTATAGCCAGCATCAGAGTTGCCCCATGTTGTATAGCCGGCATCAGAGTTGCCCATGTTGTATAGCCAACATCAGAGTTGCCCCATGTTGTATAGCCGGCATCAGAGTTGTCCCATGCATGGTTGTTGTATCTGGCCTTGGCACTATGTTGTACAACCAGGTTCTCGCTATCGATTTGCCCTACAACTGATTTGATCATATGGCCCTTTAACTGCTTCACAATGACTTGGTCACACAAAGCCGAGTGTCAGTCCCCAGCAGGTGCTTGTTCCACTGCAAACAATTCCATTGGTGGACTGCCATTCAAAGTCAGTGTGTGATGGGGGAGGGTGAAGAAGCGGAGATTGGGGAACGACCATTTGATATTAATTTTCTCTATGTATGTGTGTGGTGTGTGGTGTGGCATGGCGTGTGTCTAAATGCTTCATCAGCGATCTATTGTCTAAATACTGCATCGGAGGTCTCTCAGACAAGAAAAATACTGCATCAGCGATCTAAATGCATATATCTAAATACTACATCAGAAATATAACAGCGAGTATAAATTCTGAAACAACGATCCACCAGTATAGACCAGTCTCTCAGACAGTCTAAACACTGCATCAACAAGCATAGGTCACTGGGGATCTATTCTGCCCTGGAATCTCCACAGGGAGACAAGTATAAGGTACTGGGGACATCTCTGCCCCAGAATCCTTCAGGTGTTTCAAGGGGGCATGGGTGGCCCAGTCGTCTAAGGCGCCGTGATTCGCTGTGCAGAGTTGCGTTCCTTGGGCACGCCAGAAACCTATGATTGTGGGTTCGAATCCTGGTTCGCCCCAATTATGTTTCTAGGTTTGTCAGCACGATACCCGTGCTCGTGGGTTTCACCGAAGTAGTAAATGTCTGAGACCTGCATCACTTCGGTCTTTCCTCCCACATTAAGCTGACACGCCGTGATATAACTGGAATACTGTTAAAAGTGGCGTTAAACCCAACTCACTCACTCAGGTGTTTCAAGTAAGAGATGTCAACACAATCACTAAATCAGCCTTCTCTCGATCCATGAGCTCCAGTCCAAGTTTATTTCCACTGTGCCGGTGTGTTACCTGGGTTAATGCCACTTCAGTACGACACTTCAGTTACATCAGGGCAGGTCAGGCTGATACAGGAGGAAGCCTGAGTGAGACAGGTCGTTGATGCTTACCATTTTTGTAAAGATGGTGGTAAGGTGAAATTGTGTTTAACATTGTGTGTGTGTTAGTGTACGTGTGTGTGTGCATGTACATGTGTGTGTGTGCTGTGTAATTCTAATACCAGTTATGCTGGTTTTATAGTGCTAGCCCCCTCAGATACAATGCCACAGTTTAACATAGATACCCAAAGTACACTAACTCCGAGCAGACCAATCCTTGTTTTATCCCCTTAATCCCAAGACCCATGCTTGCCGTAAAAGGCGACTAAGCTTGTCGTGAAAGGCGACTAACGGGATTGGGTGGTCAGGCTCGCTGACTTGGTTGATGCATGTCATCGATCCCAATTGCGTGGATCAATGTTCATGATGTAAATCAGGATTGTCTGGTCCAGACTCGATTATTTACAGACCGCCGTCATATAGCTGGAATATTGATGGGTGCGGCGTTAAACAACAAACAAACAAACAAACAAACAAACTTAATCCCAAGTGCCAGTCAGGATAACAACAAGTACCATCGTTTTTACATCTTTTGGTACAACACAGCCAGGGGATCGAACTACCAGCCTTCCACCCTTCGGGCAGATCCACTAGATATCCACCTCCTGAAACCAATGAGCAGAGGACCGGTGCCGTCAAACCAAGGACAATCCTGCATTCAAACCCATGACAAGCAGATCCTGCGAGCCATGCGACTCAACTTAAGTACTTCAGACAAAACAAACACAGGCATGTTATGCTGGTATTTATTGTACCGCAATTAAGCGTACATTGTTATATATAAATTAATGACTGATGGTAGACAGACATATACAACATCATGTTGAAAGGAGCTGAGTCAACTCCCCTTCGGGTAGAGAGAGAGTGAGAGAGAGAGAGAGAGGGAGAGAGAGAGAGTGTGAACGTGATGAGAAAGGAGCCAGAGAGAGAGAGAGAGAGAGATAGAGAGATAGAGAGATAGAGATAGTGTGATGAAGGTTGTGGAACCACAGGAGTAAGAGTTTAAAGGATGTAGGCAGTTTTTGCATGGAAAAGGTCCATGATTATAACCATGGCAAGCCACACATATCTTGATTTAGTTAATTTCAACAATGGTAACAAAGGTTAGTTTAAACATTCTCTAACTTTGAATTAATTTTAAATGTAGGCATAGCATACAATGAAATTTCCATATGAATACATGGCTGTAACTTTTACTTTTGATTATTGCCCCGAAGACATACAATATTGATGTTATCCCATAGTGATGAAGTGATTGACTTCATAGAGGGACCATCTCAATAGCCGAGTTGCTGAATGATTGATGTCACAATATTTCCATGTCTTTCATTTCAAATCATGGCCTCAATGATTTAGTTGCTAACAAAAACATTTGAGACGGTCCCTTTAGTTGACCGAGAAATGACCTCTATCTACACATGTAATTCCCATTACCAATAGCTGGTAGATTTGTTATTAGTCGTCCAGTTAGCTTCTGTTTTGCACAACTGTCCACAACAGAATTAATGTGTTTACATCAACAGATTGGTTAGCTGCACATACAGGATGCTCCATCCAAGGATAGTTTAATTTCAATTACCGTATTCGACGTAATAAGCGCCCCGCTCTAATAAGCGCCATGGCGATATTTGCTAATATATTGGCTAGTGAGAAATCCCAATTAGCACCCCTTCCGATTGATCAATGTATACAAGACTTAATTATTGGTGTATAATACACACTCGTGTGTTTTATGCACCCTTAATTATTGGGAATTAAATTCTGGAAAAATATATCTGTCGTACATAAACATTTCAGGCTGTCAGCATAAGCCACGAAATATATCTTTCAACTGTTTTTTGTCACCAAAATAATATTCTAATAAGAGCCCCCTATTCCTAATTTTGAGAGCGCCCTGGGCGCTTATTACGTCGAATACGGTAACTCCTTATTTTGCAATGTTTCAAAAATAAATGCAATGAAATGTAAAATGAAATTTAATTTTTCTTGTGCATCAATGACATTGGTTGATTTTGTTTTTCAAAATATAAACTCAACAGAAATTTGTCTTCTGATTCATGATTTGAAAAGATGTCTTATGGTATAAAAGCTTGTGATGCAACACAACTAGAATAACTATTAGAATATACTACTCAACATTTGCTAAGGAACACACCTTTGACTAAAGATAACAATTTTGGTCCTAAGAAATGTTGAGTGGTACATTTGAATGTCAGTATGGTGTAGTAGTCTATATTTTCAACTGGCGTAAACCAATTATTTCAAATTTTATTATATTGACACCTTGAGATGTGAAATTGATGAAGAATTTGAAATAATGGTTTACTTTGGTAGAGTGAGTGAGTAAGTGAGAGGGGCCGTGTCAGCAATGTTTCAGCTATATATGACAGTGGGTTCTATACAGGTGATGGCACCGTTGTGCAGTATTGTTCCAGAAGCAGTGACTCAAATGCTGGGTGTGTGACCAATGATTGTATCAGCTACAAAATGCCAACTAGGAACCGCAACAAAAATAGTTCAAGTCTCCAAAAATATAAAAAAAAAGAAAAGGAGCTAAGATAAATATAAGCAAGAAAACAAAGAAACAAAATACCAATTGTTACGAAATCTGAAAACCTGCTGTGTAAGTTTACCTCATTACCATGGTAACAACCAATCAGGAAACAAGTCCAAACTTAATAACATGCATTGTAAAATATAACCTCAAAAAGTCCTGCTGGAAAACTCATACCTTTAGAAAGGAAACAAATCTTTGAGAACTGATCAATATAAAACAAAACAAATTTGCAGTTATTATTTACAGTTAACGAGGTCAAGCATCTTCCTGACTATTGGTTAGTAGATTCCCTGTAACCATGGCAACACACTAGATGCACTGATACTTGTAGCCAATCACAAAGAGAAAAGGACAAAGCCTTATATGTGGTTGGTCAGTTTAAGAAGTTGGGAAATAATATTGGTTTGACAGAGGGTTCTAAGCAATTTGACAGGCTGACAATAAGGTTAGTCATTGTGTAGTGAGTAAGGTTGGTTTTAAGCTGCTTTGAGTGAGTGAGTGAGTGAGTGAGTGAGTGAGTGAGTGAGTGAGTGAGTAAGTTGGGTTTAATGCTGCTTTTAAGTTATATCACAGCCTGTCAGCTTAATGTGGGAGGAAAGCCCGAAGTGATGCAGGTCTCAGACGTTTACCACATCGGTGTAAGCTGCTTTGAACAGTATTCCAGTTATACCAGAGGACCTCAGCCAAAAATGAGAGGACAGTCCAAAATAAAGCAGCTCAGACTTTTACCACTTTGGTGAAACCAACGAGCATGGGAATATGCTGACATCCTAGATACAAAGTCACTTGCAATGTGGCTTTTAACCCATGATCATAAGATTCTGGCACAGTAAAGGGAGGCAACTGTGCACAATGAACTGCAGCGAATGATCTGACTGAGCCACATGTGGATGGAAAGATTGGTTGGTTTGTTGTTTAACGCCGCACTCAGCAATATTCCAGCTATATGACGGCGGTCTGTAAATAATCGAGTCTGGACCAGACAATCGAATGATTGATATCATGAGCATCGATCCACCCATTTGGAGGATGGAAAGAGGTTATGTCAGTGAAAGTGGTTGACTTGCAAGGTACAAGGCCCCGTTCCACAAAGTGATCTTAACACTAAGGTCTTTGTACTCCATCCTCTCACATATACTACGAGAATCCTAGCGTAATATCACCTTGTGAAACGAGGCCCAGGGGCCCATTCCAGGGAGCTATTTTAGCACTAAAGTGGTCTAACTCCCATCCTGTAACATAGGCTAATGACAATTGTGGAGCTAAGGTCACTTTGTGAAACGGGGCCAGGTCAACTGGCATTTCCAGCTAATTTGACATCAAAGGGAGACAACTGTTCAAAATACCAAGATAATAGCATTATTTTTCATTACGCAACTGACAAGCAACTGGTTCGTAACTGGATCTAGTGTGCAACCATGGCAACAGGTAATTAGTCCTTGCGTGCCAAGGATGGGAAGTTAAAGATTTCAGTAACTGTGTACTCAAAAGGAAGGTGTAAGGAAACAAAGAGAAATGCCTCAGAAGAATATAAAGGGTTAATATGATCACACACAACACTACCCATACATATACATGCACACAACTTCAACCAGAACCTCCACAGTGTTAAGGAAAACAGTACATTCTCTACAGGTACATCACAAAAAAACATATACCCCACCTAAAATACAACATAGACTAGTTCAGTTGACCAAGGTGAGAGCTATCACATGAGTATAATTAACACAGCAGCACTAGAGCTAGACATCGAGTGTAAGGCTATACTGACCAACCAGTAGCTAAATACCGTATTCCTCTATTAAACACCGGGTCTCCAATACATGCCTGCCTCTACATGATGCTGGCTCATAGGCTCTGCCTTGGAAGCCGGGTCTGATATGTTGATGATTATTAAGTTTCCTGCAAATGGACCCTTTGTTAGACTGCAGAATTTGGGATTCGGTAAGGTGGGGAGTAGCCACTGTGTCAGCACTAAACAGAGGAGCGTCCAGGCCTCTGATAGAGTCCGGTCAACGGCTTGTGAGAAATTAATAGACACCTGGGCGTCTAACTGAGGAAATACAGTACATGTGTGATGCTTGCCTATTGATAGGAGGATTGAAGAGATATGAATCGTTGTAATAGTTTCTTTGGTCATGTGGACGAGGCAGATCTCAGATCTTGGATGTGCGCTCAGATCAGAAGGTCCATGGTTTGAATCCCATCATGTGACTTGAAAATTTTATGGCTGCAACATTAGCTACCATTTGTTATGGAAAAAAGGAATGCAGTCACTAAAACATTACTTGTCCAAAATAAAATTTGGCACTTCTATTCAATGCTTTACATTAATGTCACCTCGGACAAACAAAGCAAGGTGGCTAACATTCAGACCTGTTGTCAAGCGTAGACTTTGTCGCAATAAGGCAAGTCATCACACATGTACTACCAGATATCACACTGAGGCTACTCCAAATCAACAAAAGCCTGTTACTAAGACCACCCCTGCCTTAATGAACACAACACAGATATATATATATATATATATATACAGTGTTTTACCTGACTGTATATGGCCAGATTTCGTTACGTTCTTTATATCAAAGTTCATTTTTTTAAATAATGATGCTAATTTCTTTTTTAAAAACATCAAGCAATAACTTTTGTTCTGTTGCCACTTTGAAAAATGTTGATATTTTGAAACGGACTATCAGTGCCTTTTTGCTACTAGCTAATGTGATCACAGAAATTAAAATGCTACTTCAACAGGTAAACATATTACTGTTTAAGACAAACATTTTCAATAAATTAAGAAGTGTTTCCATGGAAACATCAGCAGTTTGGGGGAAATTTGTAACTGTAAAATACATAATATCACACGGTTAGTCACTACCATAAACATCTTCATTATCAAGAGAAGCCCAAGGAAAGTCACAGACAGTTGTAAGGAAACTATTCTCACGACTTTGATCTAAACGAAAGCCATGTCTGCTTATGATAGAATGTTTGGGTATGATTTGGAATGTCCGCGATGCCTTGAGATACAGCTATGTTGATAACTGCTGGAGTTTACATGCCTGATGCTGAATATCATCATCAATACTTCACCAGTCCGAATTCGGAGCCAAATATTTCTCAATATAAAACTGGTTCTCAGACAACTGCAATTACATGATCATTGCCATAGGCTCCTTAAACAAGAACAGTTAGCACTCAAGGTCATAATAAGAATGAGTGAGTGAGTGAGTTTGGTTTAACGCCGCTTTTAACAGTATGCAAGTTATCTCATGGAAAACCCGAAGTGATGCAGGTCTCAGACATTTACCACTTCGGTGAAACCAACGAGCACAGGTATGGTGCTGACAAACCCAGAAACATAATCAGGGTGAACCGGGATTCGAACCCACAATCATGGTTTTCTGGTGTGCCCAAGGGACGCAACTCTGCATAGCGAATTGCGGAGCCTTAGACGACTGGGCCACCCGTGCCCCTGCATAATAAAAAATTATTAGATTTTTATTCAAATCTTTAAAATAATGTTGGAGGTGAGTCACATGATGCATGAAAGTTTGGTGGGACTGTGTCCATGCTGTGCTTCATCAAATGTTTGTGTTTGTTTGTTGTTCAACATGTTTGTTTGGTGGAATCAGTCTGTGTTTGTGTGAGTGAGTGAATGCTGTTACAAGCCACTGAGCACTATTCCAGCTGTATGATTGCGGTCTGTAATTAATCAAGTCTGGACCAGACAATCCAGTGATTGATGTAATGAGCACCGATCCACGTCATCTGGGTACGATGACATGCATCAACCAAGTCACAAACAGTGACCACCTATCCATTTGGTCGCCTCTTACAACCAGCATAGGTTGCTGGGGACCAGTTCTAACCCGGCATCACCACAAGCACTTCAACAAAGGAAAGGGACCACATTTGGCAGTGGCAGCTTCGGTTGTATACTCCCCAGGGAGCTGAGAATGAAAATCGAGTGCTCACTGATCCACTGACCGGGGTAATAACAGTGTAGCGCTATGAGCATCCACTTGGTGAATGGAATGTGGCGCATTATAAATGCACTTAATATTATCATTATTATTATTTAGAAAGTTTCATCTGTAGGTACTGTAGGTTTAACAGGAGGTGATAGGGTTGTTTGGTAGTGAGGTGTGTTGGGTTAAAAATCTAATAATTCTTTCATTACGGCCTGAGGTGTTTTTGTTCATAAAAAACAAAACATTAAACCATAAACATGCTTGATTTTGATGTTAGCTTGAAAATTGTTAAATATTTTCTCATTTTAATTAGAAGTAAATTGAGCCAGAAGACACATTCTCAACACTTCACAAGCTTAAGGTATCCAGTTAAGGAGCAGAAATTCCTAAAATACCAAAAACATTTTGTAAACTACTTTAAAATGATAAGCACCACCTGATTCTTAGTTAATCTGTCATGGCATACATTAGTATATAGTCACTACCATATAAACTAGCGATCTTAATGAGCCCTATCACTGCTAATGTATCAATTATTTTCACGGATGACGAAATATTGACAATATATACAACACATATACCCTTTCTCCATAGTGGTAGGTGCAGTCGTACTACTGTACTTCCCGGTCTATAATGAACACTTCAATAAGATACAGTGTAGGGGCAAGTATTATACCCAAGTGTGTATTACCGTAAATCCGAAAAGTTTTGCGCCAATAAATTATTGCGAGCGGGTAACAATAGCCATAACTGCGTCACCATGACGATGAGATTACCAAAGATGAGGGTTGCTTTTGCATGTGTTATTGTTCTTGAGTGGAACTAGCGGGATGAAAAGTGTCGGTCAGCGTTTGTTTTAACTACAGATACATGCATTGTTGTTGTTGACAAGGAGTGAGTGAGTATGGCTTTACGCCGCTTTTAGCAATGTTCCAGCAATATCATGGCGGGGGACACCAGAAATGGGCTTCACACATTGTACCCATGTCGGGAATCGAACCCGGGTTTTCGGCATGACGAGCGAACGCTTTAACCACTAGGCTACCCGACCGCCCCTGTTGACAAGGAAGGTTGAAGTAGCATGTTTATCTAACAAAAGGATAGTGATGTCTGGACTACAGTGTTACGTAAGGAAATTGACAAGGTGTGTCAGGTTAGTGAACTTTCCTGAGCGTGACAATGGATAATAAGTTAACAAGATGTTAGGGATTATTGATATAATCATGTTCTGGCTTGTTTGACAATGTGAAGTGAATAAGCGAAATATGCATCCTTATGTTTTTTGTTAGGTGTTGGTCTGCAAATATAACTGCGTCATGAAGCTATTGCGAGTGTGTGTTACACATAGTTTTCGACGTACCATCCTGCTTGCAAAACTTTCCAGATTTACAGTACACCGTGAGCAATACGTCACAGTTTTGTACGCACTTCATTTCACCATCTGTGAATACATACAACCAGTGAAGTACTGACGAAAGCATCCTCCACAAACTACGACAGGGTGACTAATGAAACGACTCCCAATCACCTAGCACGTTACCAAGGCATATCACAAAGAAAACCTCCATTAGCACGATTAGTATTGTCAAGCTTCAAAGGAACTCAAAGTACAAACAAATTAAATCCTATTCTAGCATACTGACTTGGCTGGAAGTTATTAATTACATTACTCATAGTGGTGTTTTATGACATTTCTGTTGCTTGTCTGCGATGAAGGATTGAATATGATTGCGAGTGAAATGAGATAAAATTTGGATATCGTATTATAATGAGAATGGCAAACATGTGATGATGACTGTTATGATGAAATAAAGATGAGTCTGGATTCGGAAACTGATGAAAATGGTGGTCATGACAAGTGATGATTATGATGATGATAATGATTATGGCATGAAGAGTCAGTTTTGTGAATGCTGTCCAACAGACCCATATGATTCACGTGTACAAAGATGCACAAGCGTTGGCTTGTGTAACGATGAAGTGATGTAGCTTAGAACACAGATCTTACCGGTGTAAAACCTGCTCACGCTAATTGAGAAATACTACAGTCAGCCCTGCACGACACGGATGTATCCAACAAGGATGGAAATCAACCAAGAACGTCTACCTGCCCCAATAGTGACAATATATAGCAATACCCCCAAAAATGTTTGCAGTTCTGCTTGCTCTTAAGATACCTCTTACATTAACAAAACTGGGGTAGGGTTGGAGGGGGCTAGAGACATGGACCCTAAATATATATATTACGTGTCCATGCTCGAGCTAATTTCCATCCCTGACCAATAATGGATCATGGTCTGTAAGTGTGTAACCTTTCACCTTGAAGATGAAACTTTTGAAAATATTACTACAAAATATCTTATAATAGAGTATAACATGGTACTCAAATAATGCTAAACTTCATAGTCTATGACCATTAATAAATTTCAATATTTGGCAGATTAATAATTTTTTTGTATATGTCAGTTATGGAAAACTGTCATCAGTCAGTAAATAAACTTATTTACACTGAGAAATATGCATAATTGTTTTGGTACTTCATTTTCTAAATGAAAAACAATATTCATATTCATATCGACACTAAATTTGTCACCAAATAAAACTTGCTCTATGACATAATGGCCAAGCTGTTAAACTGAAAGCACCCATGACAAACAAAATGGCCGACCATGCACCGTGCAGACTGACTAACAATACGACTGTTACCGTGGCAACTGACACTGCACTGACAGCTGTAGACTATTGATGACAAGAATAGCACTGAGTTGCTACTATAGATATGTACAACATTTGTCAAGAAAAAAATCACAGATAATTGAAACGTTTAGCACAATGGAACTCCCTAGGGTCTCCCACTGGGGTTGTCGAGGAATAAGTTAACGAGCTGATCCGAGTTTGTGAGTCCAGAGTGAAGTTTTCTCCGCCAAGGCCAACATAGTTTCACGTACCAGGCCTCTTGCTTAATCTGCATCGTTGAAACCGTTGAACTTCTTCGTATATCAACCTTTTCAGCTGAACTGTACGAAATCCTTCATGTAAAGATAAATGATTCTGTTTTGTGAATCTATTTGGGGTGTCATACTTCACCAATGTATTACATTGTGAATTTATATCCGATGATACGATACATGATACGCCTACCCATAGATTGATTCATTCAATAATTCTATATAAATCTTAAAGTAATATTTACAAATTTTGCAACAACTCATCCTGGTAATTAACAGGGCTAGCCTTAAATTTATATCTATAACAAGACAAAGCGTTAATCTGATAACATAATTAACATACTTTCAGAACACGCCTGAAGTAACTAAATGTGAATTACACACAACCTCGTTGCTAGCAACAACATATTGTTAAACAGGCCACGTGGAAAACTTCACAAAAAAACAGCGGAACTTGAGTATCACGATATTCGTCATATTGTGACTCGATTATCTTGATTTGATTCAACGTGAGGTAGACGTATCATGACACCCCTAGAACCTATGAACATAAGGAGGTTCCAATGAAAATCAGACTGAAAAGGTCAAGTTCTGCAGATTTAGGAACTGGATGACAAATCTTAAAACGCACTGTAAGCCTGTCGAAAGTACATTCACAAAGATTTGTCTACAAGTGAGGATTAAAAAGTACTTCACAATATGCAGACGACAAAAAGGTCTGAAGGTAATCTTGACATTTCCTCCGAAAGCCGACACTGCTCACGTGACATCCAGACAGTACAAAGATGTCTGCCATGTTAAAAACGGGTCTCAAACTCGGGATCTGGTCTCTTCCAGAATCAGCTCTACGTGGATTCAGTTCGAGTTGCGGACACATGCCACCATTGACTCACAATAAACCGTCTTGTGTTCCTCCCAATCAAGACAGTCCAATCATGTGGAGGGTCACACGATCATACTTGACACGGGTACACCGATACACTGTAACCATGGTAACAGATCACATGACCTATGATGAGGGGGTGTGTGAGGGGGGGGAGAGTCAGTCCCATCCGTTGTCTTTGATCATGTGTGCCAGTTCGATGATAAACTTCCCTTCCTTGTACTTCTGACTAGATTCAAATGCATGTTCCTGAAACCACAAAGAACCGCATCAAGTCATATTTTCTAAGTTCCATAACAGTTGTTTTGTTTAACGCCGCAACCAGCAGTATTCCAGCTATATGACGGCAGCCTGTATATATATCTAGTCTGAACCAGACAACCCAGTGATTGATAAGAGCAACGATCCAATTGTCAGCCTATGAGGACATTCAATCAAAGTTACGAGTCAGTGAGTGAGTGAGTATTGTTTTACGCCGCTTTTAGCAATATTCCAGCAATACCACAGCGGGGGACACTAGAAATGGGCTTCATCAAAATTACGAAGTCTTACGAACTGATCTTTAAAGTTGCTCATAACCGACAATGTAAGACTAAATAATTACCCTCCCTTCATCTTGTTTATGAAAAATTAGTCCTTATGATTTTGATCATTCATTGTCATATAATTCGTATGAATTAAGGAAGAAATTGAATTTTCGTAAGTCAGTTGTAAATTCGAAAAAAAACACCAAAAATTCGGAACAGTTTGCAGCTATGTGATGGGTTGAAACAGTCAGAGGCAACTCACGTATTTCCAGCCCAGTGTGGTTTTGCAGCACTCGCAGTAGATGTCCGCAACGGCATGCAACCCCGTCAGCAACACCCTCTCCTCCGCTGGTCCGCAGCCGACGTTAACACTGGAGAAAAGGGCCACATTCAGTATCCAGGGACAGTAGGGGGGATAACTCTTGTTGTACACAGATGAATCAGAACACAAGTTGGTTAGTTTGTTTGTTTGTTGTTTAACGCCGCACTCAGCAATATTCCAGCTATAAGAAGGCAGTCTCTAATTATTCAAGTCTGAACTGGACAATCCAGTGATTTAAATCATGAGCATCGATCCTAATAATTGGGATACAATGACACGTATCAACCAAGACAGCAAGCTTTACTACCCGATCCTGTAAGTTGCCTCTAACGACAAGCATAGTCACCTCTTACGACAAGCATAGCTGCCTTTTACGACAAGCATGGGATGCTGAAGACCTATTCTACCCCGGATCTTCACGGGTGTAGAACACAAGTACGCACAGACACAGTGAAGGATGAGATACTGTAAATCATGAAATTAATGCATAGAATAGGAGTGTCCCTTACACAAAGTGACATATTTTTATCTGGAGGGTATTGTTATGTCCGGTTCACTGCACGCGGACATGCTTGCCCATTTCACGAACACTTAGTGCCCTTACTAACTTCCAGTGATCATTCACATAAATTTCACTACTATTTTGCTTTTGAAGCGTAACGGAATCCGTTATGGCTGGAATACGAGTCTGTTCTCTTGCCTTGACGTTTCACATATATAACGACCCGTGAAGATCTGGGGTAGAATAGGTCTTCAGCAACCCATGCTTGCCGTAAGAGGCGACTTACGGGATCGGGTGGTCAGGCTCGCTGACTTGGTTGAAGCATGTCATTGATCCCAAGTGCGTGGATCGATGCTCATGATATCAATCACTGGATTGTCTGGTCCAGACTCGATTATTTACAGACTGCCGTCATATAGCTTGAATATCGCCGAGTGCGGCGTAAAACAACAAACAAAACAAAAACAAACGAATCATATATATAACAAAACTCACACTACACAATGTACTAGAGAGCTACATTTAGACAAGTGTGGTCAGTTGTTTACGCAAGTTGATGAAGCTGTTGTGACAGTCGTCAACCATGTGTATAACGGCATCTTTGTTTTTGGTAAGATTTGTCAAATAATCTAATTATGACTAACAAAACACCCACCACAAAGTGAAAATGTTCAGTTCAGCAACAACAGTCATGTTGAATACATAACACTGCTCATCTTCCCGAGGCAAGCGAATTAACTGGCTATAAAAGTCCAGTTTCCACCCTTGCCGAACTAGGCTGGTATTATGGAGTTACTTTTTGGCTGGACTTACGTGTCTATGCATAGTCCAATCAAAATCTCGTTAAAAACTGTCGTGCAGATTTCGGTCGATTGCAGAATTTGCAAAGCATGTGCACCAACAACTCGTTGTCAACAGATATTTTCCAAACCTTTCATGTTTTTAATCAATGTGCTCGTGTGATTTGATGCTCTTCACAATGTAAGACCCGTTTTATCACAATATAGATCTTGATTATCGATCAGATGGTCTTGACTTGGCGCCGCCATTTTGTTTGAAACAAATATAAGTGATAGAATCGGATTGGTCCATAGGATCGGCTCAGAAGGGACATAACTCATAATAACCACTGGTTGCGCTACGATGGAGCCCAGTAATTCCAGCCTAGTTCGGCAAGGGTCGAAACTGGACTTTTAAAGTCAGATAACTCCCTTGCCTCGGGAAGATGAGTGAGTGAGTCAGTGAGTTTGATTTTACGCCGCTTTTAGCAATATTCCAGCAATATCACAGCGGGGGACACAAGAAATGGGCTTCACACATTGTACCCATGTCAGGAATCGAACCCGGGTCTTCGGCGTGACGAGCGAACGCTTTAACCACTAGGCTACCCGACCGCCCCTCGGGAAGATGAACACTGCTCAGTTACATTCAAAGGATTATGCTAACTTGTGAAACAACACTTTAAACCTGTACAATCTTTACTGGTCACCTGACCTGTATCATTTGATTTGTATGTTTGTTTGTTGTTTAACGCCACACTCAGCTATATTCCAGCTATATAAGGGCAGTCTGTAAATAATCGATCCAGTGATTGACGTCATGCACATCGATCCACGCAATTGGGATTGATGACATGCATCAACCAAGACAGCAAGCCTGACTACCAGATCTTGTTAGTCACCTCTTACGACAAGCAGAGTCGCCTTTTACAGCAAGCATCAGAGCTCCAGATAAGCTGCGTATCTGCGTAAAATACACATCAGAAATGCAGAAATACGCAGTAAAATAAAATCCAAGCGTATCAAATATGCAACAAACATTACAGATACGCTACAGTGCAACCTACTCCACTAGGAGCCCCTAATGTGCTTCAGCTTGACCACAGTGCAACCTGCACCTATTCGCCCCCCACTGCTAAATGAATGGGCACATGGCTTGTGTGTACTGTAACCAGCAGGCTGACATTTACACAACACATGCACTAGAATAGCCCATTAAAAAGCAGATGCTTTCAAATGTCAGACTGGGTGAAAGGTTACCTGTTCTGAAATTACCTCAAGGGGTAGCTCAGTTTAAAGGTACGACCTACACATGTGCCAAACAATTCACTCAGTGATTGTGGATTTTGGCTCAGCTTCAATGTTTGTTTGTTGTTTAACGTCGCACTCAGCAATTTTCAAACTATATAACGGCAGTCTTTAAATAATCTGGACCAGACAATCCAGTGATTGATATCATGAGCATTGATCCATTACAGATACGCTACAAAAATAAAACTTGTGCGTATCATCAAAATATTGTGAAGTAACCCTGCGTATTCGATTAGCAAATCAGCAACTTATTTTGAAATTATAAACTGGCATTCCGTCAACCTTGCCAAACTCCACGATGACACTTACATCATGATCATTTGCCATCACACTTTCTTGTGGAAGTATCGTGGTATTTTTGAGTCCTATAAAGCTCTCGAACCCACACGACACCAGTTTGCATGGACTAGATGAATAGAGTTTTTAAATATTTAACTTAAATACCCACATGTGTAAAAACTAATGGGTAACAGAAATTTGAATACCCAGATAGAATTACTGATACCCAATGATTTTAAAATGCATGGGTAAAATACCCACAACACCAAAAGCTTATCTGGAGCTCTGAGATTACTTCCGGATCACATACACTTGATTGCTATGTGCACCCCTCTCCCACGAGACACTGAGATACTTACACTGAGTTGAACAGATACGCCCGGCCTTGGCTGCCTTGGAACGACTGAAACAAACCAAATATTAAAGGTCAACCTTTGGTGCCAAGATGAACATCAACATTTTCGTATGATCTTTTACTGTTATCTTTTGTAAGTGAGTGAGTGAGTTGGGTTTAACGCCGCTTTTAACAGTATTCCAGTTATATCACGGCGTGTCAGCTTAATGTGGGAGGAAAGCCCGAAGTGATGCAGGTCTCAGACGTTTACCACTTCGGTGAAACCCACGAGCACGGGTATGGTGCTGACAAACCTAGAAACATAATTGGGGCGAACCGGGATTCGAACCCACAATCATAGGTTTCTGGCATGCCCAAGGGACGCAACTCTGCACAGCGCCTTAAACGACTGGGCCACCTGTGCCCCCAATCTTTTGTAAGCCTCATGACAATAGGACAAATAAGGTCTTGATGATATACATAACAATATTACTTAAAAACTGGTTTGCGAACATAACAAATCTCAGACTACTAGTTACCAACATGTTATACAATTGTTTAAAATTATCCGATTTCCTATAAAAAGCTAATTGATAAATCAAAATTTCGTGTGCGAAATACGCATCGGTCGGAAAGCGCACGTTAAATCTCCGAAGTAAGTAAGTAAGTATCAAAATGAACATTATGAAAAAGATCCATAATTGATCACGCTGAAATATATACCGGGGTATATCCCTTTTGATGGAAAATGCTTGACTTGTTTGTTTGGTTGTTGTTTAACACCACCCTCAGCATTATTCCAGCTATATGAAGGTGGTCTGTAAATAAACGAGTCTGGACCAGGCAATCCAGTGATTGACATCATGGGCATTGATCCATGCAATTGGGATTCGATGACATGCATCAAGTCAGCGAGCCTGACCACCGAATCCCGTTATTCGCCTCTTATGACATGCGACAAGCATGGGTTGCTAAAGACCAATTCTGTACTAAGCTACACTGGTGTTGGGCAAAGGTTACTTTAAGATCCTGACTGGGAACCCACAATCATTTTGAGAGAAAAATATCATTTAATATTCCTGAAATCAGATTGTTGTTAATCAGTGATATAGAGAGCTTACAGCAAGCACATGGTGAGTGGGTGAATATATGGTTGAACACCTCTTTCAGATAGATCATGACAGGGGACACCAGAATCACCCATTGCAGAAGTGGGGATTCGAACCCGGGTCTTCGATGTGATAATCCAACATTTTAACCACTACACTACACTACCCAAGTAGATAGTGGGTGGACATAAGTCTGGTGGATAATAGAACATAGCGGTTTCAACAACATTAACATAAGCCAGTATGCAATATCTGCAAGATGGTATGCAATATGTGCAAGCCAGTATGCAATATGAGCAAGCCAGTATGCAATATGAGCAAGCCAGTATGCAATATGTGCAAGCCAGTATGCAATATGAGCAAGCCAGTATGCAATATCTGCAAGCCAGTATGCAATATGAGCAAGCCAGTATGCAATATCTGAAAGCCAGTACGCAATATGAGCAAGCCAGTATGCAATATGAGCAAGCCAGTATGCAATATCTGCAAGCCAGTATGCAATATGAGCAAGCCAGTATGCAATATGAGCAAGCCAGTATGCAATATGAGCAAGCCAGTATGCAATATGTGCAAGCCAGTATGCAATATGAGCAAGTCAGTATGCAATATCTGCAAGCCAGTATGTAATATGAGCAAGCCAGTATGCAATATGAGCAAGCCAGTATGCAATATCTGCAAGCCAGTATGCAATATGTGCAAGCCAGTATGCAATATGAGCAAGCCAGTATGCAATATCTGCAAGCCAGTATGCAATATGAGCAAGCCAGTATGCAATATCTGCAAGCCAGTATGCAATATGAGCAAGCCAGTATGCAATATGAGCAAGCCAGTATGCAATATCTGCAAGCCAGTATGCAGTATTTGCAAGCCAGTATGCAGTATTTGCAAGCCAGTATTTATACACCAGGAAACACCAGCCAGGAACATTGGTAAACAGATCAGGGGGTGAGGGACACTGCTTCAGGCAACTATATCAGACATGGCTACTTAGCTGACTAAGCTTTCTCCTATAATCAAAGAAATTCATCCAGCTGACAAGAAAAGCAAGCTAAGGGTTTTATTTGACCATTACTCTAGATCCGCACAAAGCATACCTCAAAGCCAGGGCAAACACTAATCTCATTAATCATTTATTGTGAAGCTTGTCCTCCAGGTTCTGAGACCGGTCAGAAAACACAGTGGGAACCCACATCACAAGGTCACACCTCTGCATTACTTCTCCAGATCACTGACTGACGTGTTCCAAAACTATGTCCCTTGGCATCAGGGTAATATTTATGTGGTTCATTCTCCTGTTGGCCATCGTCCAGGCTGCAGTTGACCTTTAGTACATTGGTCAAGTGGGCATTGCTCCACAGTCCTACAAACATGCTGTTGCTGTCATTAAGCCCAAAGTCCTTGCACAACACACCATACTGAATGAATGAGTGAGTATGGTTTTACGCCGCTTTTGCAATATTCTAGCACCATAACGGCAGGGACGACATGCTTATGGTGAGTTAAAGCGAAATGGGGTTTAACGTGTTAAAGATAATTAATCTTATATAGCAAGGTGCATGGGTGTGTGTCCATGTACTAGTCCGGACTAATGCCAGTCTCATAGTGCCTGTCCACTGAGATACCATGCCACAGTTTAACATGGATACCCCACTCAGACCTGGTATACTGACACCGCGCTGACCAGTCCTTTTGTTTTAGCCCCTTAATGCCAGGGCAACATCAAGTACAATTTTTAAGCGTTTATTGGTATTATGGAGATGGGTATCAAACCGCCGACCTTCTCTCTGGAGAGGCTGTATTTATCCAACCATGACGTTGGTGATACCACCCTGCACAAGTGGACAAATCCCAGCTTGCCTCTGCAGGGCTTGATGTGTTCATAGAACGTACTAGTCAAGTGTGAACACCACTAGTGCACTACACGAAGCACTAACACTGTCAGACAGGGTGTAACTAATTGGCATTGCATTATTGAAAGTGTATTGTCATGTTTCGATATTATTTCCAGAACGTTCATTAAAAATATGACAGAAGTAAGTAATCAACATCACTAATTTACAGTCAACTTACTAATTATCCAGTGCTTGACTGTGTTTTCACCATTAAAATTAACCAATATATTTGTCAGGGTTATTTAGGTACGCACTTAAAGCTCCAGAAATGTTTTGGATTAATCATTCACATTAGGTATTGAGAGTTTCGTTGCGACCTCAGTGTTTTTACTTCCTTGGGTCCTGCTTAATGGGTATTTCTAGTTTTAAATAATTCAAAATGCTGTTTCTAATTTGTATCTGTCATGTGTACACGTTACATAAAGTGACAACAGCAATATACAGTAAACTACGTTTACAACGAACACGCTTATACGAACAGATGGATATAACAGACTTAATTTTGGGTCCCGGCCATTTGCTGTATATATGCTGTACACGTGCTTATAATGAACTACGATCATAACAAACTAAAATTAGTGATCCCTTTGGGTACGTTATAACCACAGTTTACTGTAAATGTCTAATCAACAATAAGTGAGTTCATGTACGTGTGGTGCCTGCATTTGATCAGATAGATTTGTACACAAATACAAGTAAGATGAAAAGGATAAACTGGGAAAATATGCGCTGTGTTTTCCTACCACAGGATTTAAAAAAAATTAATGCATATTTGTATGTATGAAACGAATTATTAGGGTAATGGTGATTTATTTTGCATATTTTATACAAACACACAAATTATCTGGTGCTCTGAGTAAGAGTATAGTCCTCATGTATCACCCTAGGTGGGCCAGTAGAAGCTTAGAAGAGGAATCCAGCATTCAGTTTGTCTAGCATTTATCTAGTTGGTCTGCAACTTGTAATCTCTGTGACCGCCTCTGTGTTCCAGTTGTAGAACGCCCACCCGGAGAGCAGAAGGTCAGGAGTCAGATCCCAGGGCGCATCATACCAAAGATTAGGGCTGGGACGGGTAACTCGGGTACCAAGGTACCCACAGGACTACCCGGACCCGTGGTATATTGTTTCATGACCATAATTCACTACATAACTACATGGTTACACGACAATTTTAAGTCTCTTATGTTCGCATTTCTTTATGACTATGAACACGTTCCTTCTGACTTAAATATGTTTGAACAAAGCTCAAACTTCAGTCAACTTCAGTGTATGCATGACCACATCGTTTTAAAAGTGTATCTAAAATCATTCTGCCAGGGCTACAGTCAAACTATTCCCAATCGGACATTTTGTATCTCTTGACACCAACAGCGGGTACCCGGGCAGGGTCGGGTAATAGGGGTGTTGGTATCCGGGTAGTAAATTTGGGCTCGTCCCAGGCCTACCAAAGATGTTAAAAGATGGTACTTGTTATTACCCTGTCTGGCGCTTGGCATTAAGGGGCTTAAACAAGGACTATAAGTGCAATAATCTTGGACGCGACGTTAAACCCCATTTCACCTCACCTCACCTCACCTGTAATCTCTGTATTGTAAAAATCTAGATAAGGCCGCAAAACTAATTTTTTGTATTTAAGGCAACAAGCAAATAAAGGACCGCTGGGATGTACAGATAACTTGAATTTCAAGAAAAAGGATAAGTTTATGTTGTTGTCTTTTGCCAATTTCTTGAAGTCACTTCAGGACTGATCAGTGGACGCTGTATGCCACAAAATGGTGTTTAGTGCCACAAAAACTATTTCACTTGAAATACATTTTTGTAACTTGTAATCACCATTGTCAATAGCAGTATTCTGCTATATACGGTTGTCATAAGAGACCCCACAATACCGTCTGTTGTTGAAAGAGACCCAACAATACCGACTGTTGTCATAAGAGACACCACAATACCTTCTGTTGTTGAAAGAGACACCACAATATCTTCTGTTGTTGAAAGAGACCCAACAATACCTACTGTTGTTGAAAGAGACCCCACAATACCGACTGTTGTCATAAGAGACCCCACAATA